GGAGGGGAACGTAGTACGGCCGCGGCCGCACAGCGCCTCCAGCAGCTCCAGCACCAGCACCACCAGCAACAGCAGCACCTCCAGCAGCTCCAGCACCAGCGCCACCTCCAGTAGCACCAGCACCTCAAGCAGCTCCAGCAGCTCCAGCACCAGTAGCACCTCCAGCAGCTCCAGAACCAGCACCAGCACCACCTCCAGCAGCACCAGCACCTCCAGCAGCTCCAGCACCAGCAGCACCAGCAGCACCCCCAGCAGCAACCCGACAGCGCCGAGAGTACCACTCACGAAGCCGTTGTGGAGAGAGGGGCTCCCACCGCGACGGGACACCTAGAGCACCTCCAGACGCAGCACGTGCAGGCTCAGCACCTCCAGACACAGTACCCTCAGGCGCCACACCCCCAGGCTCAGCACGCCCAGTCTCAGCACCCCCAGACTCAGCACCCCCAGACTCAGCACCCCCAGTCCCCGCACCCGCAGGGTCAGCACCCCTAGCAGCACCTGAGTCGACAGCTACCTCGACCGGCTCGGCAGGGTCTACCTGGGAAACACCTGAGGGGGCAGGACCCTGGGGGGGGAGGGGGTGTACCAGGGGAGTACCTGGTGCTAGAAAGAGCGGCGGGAGGGGGGGAGAGGCAGTGCGGTAGGGAAAGAGACGGTAGTACGACACCGACTCGTCGAACGTGACGTCCTGAGAGGACAGAACACGACGCGAGGTGGGGTGGTAGAACTGCCACCCGTGTGCGTCAGGAGGGAAGCCAAGGAAGACACAGGGAAAGGCACGGGAGGACAGCTTGTCCGCTGTAGTATCGCGGACAAAAGCTCGAGATCCCCAGACACGAAACGCGGACGCATCGCCAACCTTCCCCGTCCACCGCAGAGTAGGTGTGGTCTCCGGCAAGGAGACACGAGGCTGAAGGTTGATCTGATGCGCAGCGTACTGAACCGCGAACGGCCACAGAAAATGGGGAGCGGCCGCATGGATCATGGACGTACGAGCGACATCCATGACCATGCCAATGCGGCGCTCAGCAATCCCATTTTGCTGCGGGGAGGCCGGAAGCGTGAACGTCTGGCGGATGCCCTCCAAACGACAGAAGGCTCTCAGGAGGTCGGAGGAAAACTCCCCGCCTCTGTCTGAGTGCAGACGCAGAACAGGAAGGTCGGAGCCGAAACTCTCACTAAGCTGGCGACGAGCACCGCGGATCCAGTCGATCAACACCTCAGTGACCTCACCCTTGCTGCGCAAGGGGAAGACTGTGGTGTAACGCGAGTAGTCGTCAACGACCAGCAGAAAGTAACGCTCGTGACCCTGTCCACGGACGCGGGCTGGGCCCCACACGTCCATGTGAAGAGTCTGCAGAGGGGCCTCAGTCGGAGGAAACGAGGAGTGAGGAGCGGCGCGCTGCCGGCCCTCGACACAAGGAACACAGGTGGGGGCAGGCCCCGGAGGAAGGGAAGGGAGGGACCTGGGGAGGCCAAAGACAAGAGCACGGGAGGCCATACCTCGAAGACGAGGCAGGGAGGGGTGACCAAGGCGGTGGTGCCAAAGGAGAGTCTCGTGCGCCAGAGGACGACACGAGCAGGGGGCAGACGTAGGACTAGACCTGGACGCAGCAGCAAACACCTGACTGGACGCAGCTACCTGACCTGACGCAGGGACTAGAGGAGGCACAATAGTCAGTGTGTACAGACTCGACCCTGGCCGACGGGTGAACGTGGCCAGGTGGCGGCCCGTCCGAGAGCAAGTGCAGTGGGTCACACGCTGACCTCCAGGGGTGAACTGGTCAACCCACGCGTCCTGGAGGTCAGCTCAACTCACCAAGTTCGTAGAGAACGAGGGGAGGAGGAGTCCCGACAGCAAGCCCGACGGGGCCGCAGGACACGGTAGAACCGTGGAGGAGTGTGCAAGGACTGGGCCCCCGGAGGGGTCAGCAAGGGAGACCGCAACAGGCCGACGGAGCGGCGTGAGCGTGGTGCTGTCTCTAAAGAAAGAGCGCGAAGCACCAGAGTCAAGTGTGAAGGTGTGAAAGGACTCAGTAGGTGCAGTACCAGAGAGAGGAGACGTACCAGCACCTGAAGCAGTAGACGCACTAGCACCTAGAGCAGCAGCCGCACTAGCACCTAGAGCAGCAGCCACAGTGCCCGGGTCGGGCGGGACACGCAGGTAACAGTCACCCTCAGTAATATCAGCAAGAGCATACATGGCAGCAAGGATAGCATCTAAGTCTAGATCAAAGATAGGCACATTTTGCAGAAGCAGATCATGCCAACGAGGAAGCTCAACAGCGTCAGGAAACTGAGTACGCCAAGCGTCAGTCAGGCGGCCGAAGCAGCGCTGCGTGGTGTGTGGGAGACCACACACCTCCCCACTACGAGTGCCTATGCGAAGAACGTACGCGCAGGGACCTGCACCCCCAGACCTCCCACGCCCAGCGTACCACTCACGAAGCTGCTGAACAGACGGGGTCTCACGGGTGCGCAGCTGCTGCTGACGCTGGCCGCCACCAAGGCCTCCACGCTGCGTGGCTGCACCGCGACCAGCACCACCTCCTCCGCTACCTCCACCACCGCTGCCGCCGCCTCCACCGCCTCCGCCACCGCCTCCACGGCCTCCACCGCCGCCAGCGACGCCCCCACCCCCGGGACCACACCCACCACCACCTCCACCTCCTCCACCGCTTCCTCCACCGCCCCCGCCACCACCCTTGCTTCCCTTGCCCTTGCTAGTGCGGCGTCGCCCACTAGGGGCAGACGCAGCGCCGACCTCCTCAGTGCCAACGAGGTCGACAGCAGCAGCAGAGGCAACAGAGGGGAGAAGGGGGACAGGGGAACACCCCTCAAAGAAGGGGGTGCGACGGTCGCCGCGAGAAGCCCCAACAGCTAAGATACTCTTCTCAGCTGCAGCAAGGCGCTCCTCTAGCAAGTCGACAGTCAGCTCGGTAGGGCAAAGTGAGAGAAAGTGATCCCTGACTGAGGAGAGAGAGTCAGGGAGGCGGGTGACTAGGTAGTAAAGGGTGATGTACATGGGGGGGGAGTTCGTGGGAAGAAACTCAGTGGGAAGGGCAGCGCGGTAGCGAGCGTCACTAGTGCGGAGGTGAGCAACTAGGTCAGCAACTGTGGCAAAGGCGGCAAGGTCAGGAAAGAGGTACGGCAGCATAAGGCGGCTGAGGGCAGCAGTGGTAGGGGAGGAGTAGCGTGCAACTACAGCGTCGTACAGAGCCCTAGCACTCTTGTACTGACTAAAGTGCGCGCACTCAGTAGACGGTAGGTGATTGCGCACAGCAAGACGAGCAGCAGCATCGCGCGTGAGCCACTGCGAGCGAACAGTACTGTCAGCATCAGCAGCAGGGGCAGTAGAGGCGCCAGACGTGAGATCGAACAGTGAGAGGCCATCCTTGCTATCGCACTGTAGGAAAAGCTGCAGATCATCTAGCCAGACCTCAAAGTCAACAGCACGACCCTCAGCATCAAAGGTAAGAACATTGAGACTAGCCATGATAGGTGCAGCAGCAGGCTAGCAGTAGCAGCAGTGCAACTTGGCAGGGCAGGCTAGGCAGGGCGGCGCGGCTCGGCAGGGCGGCACTCTTACCAGTGGCGAGGCCGGGGCAGGGCCGGGGTAGGGCCGAGACAGTGCAGGAGCAGGGCAGGGGCAGGGCCGGGGCAGAGCCGGGCCGGGGCAGGGCAGGTGCAGGGCCGGGGCAGAGCCGGGGCAGGGCCGAGGCAGGGCCGGGGCAGGGTCGGAGCAGGGCCGGGGCAGAGCCGGGGCAGGGCCGGGGAAGGGCCGGGGCAGGGCCGGGGCAGAGCCGGGGCAGGGCCGGTCCAGGGCCGGGGCAGGGTCGGAGCAGGGCCGGGGCAGGGCCGGGGTAGGGCAGGTGCAGGGCCGGGGCAGAGCCGGGGCAGGGCCGGGGCAGGGCAGGTGCAGGGCCGGGGCAGGGCAGGTGCAGGGCCGGGGCAGAGCCGGGGCAGGGCCGGGGCAGGGCCGGGGCAGGGCAGGGGCAGGGCCGGGGCAGGGCCGGTGCAGGGCAGGTGCAGGGCCGGGGCAGTGCAGAAGCAGGGCCGGGGCAGTTCAGGAGCAGGGCCGGGGCAGTTCAGGAGCAGGACCAGGGCAGGGCCTGAAAGGGCCTCTAACGGGGCCTGACGGGGCCGTACGGGGCCTCTAACGGGGCCTGACGGGCCTTACGGGGCCTTTAAACGAGGCCTGACGAGGCCTACGGGGCCTCTAACGGGGCCTGACGGGGCCTTACGGGTACGCGGGGCCAAACGGGGCCTGACGGGGCCTCACGGGGCCTCTAACGGGGCCGGAAGGGGCCTTACGGGGCCTTAAACGGGGCCAAACGGGGCCTGACGGGGCCTTACGGGGCCTCTAACGGGGCCTGACGGGGCCTTACGGGGCCTCTAACGGGGCCTTACGGGGCATAACGGGGCCTTACGGGGCCTTACGTGGCGGGCGCTAGCTCTGAGGGCAGGCGCAGGGGCCGCGGCGGGCCTCGAAGGGAAAGCGCGACGCGCGCGTCAAGTAGGCAGTAAAAGATTTTAGTGGTGGGCCCTTTTTTAAAATTCTCGAAACTAGCTCTATACCATGTGAGAAAGATAGACGAAAGAATGAATGAACTAGAAAAGAGATGGGTACAAATAGGAAACACATAAGTGTTGTACCCTCTAAGAGCTACCCCACTACAGCCTAAATAGACCATAGCAGATATAAGTTTGACATATGTGTCATGTGGACAGTCACGAGACTGTTCGCACTACTACCTGTAACTCACGCGAAGAAACACTTGCTACAGTAACATGGATATATAGCAATACTACGATACTACTGTAATTTTAGACTATCGAACTTTTGAATTGTAAGTCATTTTACTTTTCCCAACACTGGGGCTGTTCTAATTTGGGGGGGTGTTATATCCAGGGGAATACGGTACTCAAACCATCTGAACTAACATTAGACAGTGCGCTCACTACTTTAAGGCGAACAAAAATGTTTTAACAACGAGCATTTATTGAACCAAGGCCATGATGTCCCCCTCCCGCACGAAGAAGAACCTGTCAGAGCCATCACCAATCGCCACCTGCAAGCATGGGGGGCAGCGATGCACAAACAAGACCACCGCTGAGAAAAAAGCGTTGATGGTGCATCCGCCATGAAGCATGCTTCTAAAAAGCGTGTGGATAGTTAGACGTGTTGGAGGATGAAGAGGCTAGGAATGCAATCCAAGTGCGCGTTGGCACCCTTGCAGTGGGCTGGGAGAGTGGGTGGGAGAGAGGCTCACCTCGTATGCGTTCATGTCGGGAAACATGACCTGCACACAGCACACAGCACACAGCATACAGCACACAGCACACTGCACACAGCACACAGCACACAGCATACATCACCACATCACACAGCACCACAGCACACACCACAGCACACAGCACCAAAGCACACACCACCACAGCACACATCCAGAGCACACATGTATGGTCATTCAGTACACTTGAGGTGGCCAATAGGCCATAATCTAGTCTCGATGTTCAGGCCAGGCAGCTTCAATTCTGACTTGCACAGCCATGGGTGTGTGTGACTAGTGGCCATCATACAGTGCAGTTTGATTTCAAAGGAGGGACCTGGGAGGTTCTTGTTGATTTCTTGATAGCACGGATCACATCACATGAAAGCACGGCACAGCACGGCACGGCACGGCACGGCACGGCATGGCACAAGCAGCACTGTGAAGAGGCATGGTAATTATGTCGCACTGCTTCGACACTGGCACCCCTGCAAGTGCCTCCCCTTGCACCTACATGCATGCACTCCCGCCGCACCCACATGCATGCACTCCCGCCGCACCCACATGCATGCACTCCCGCCGCACCCACATGCATGCACTCCCGCCGCACCCACATGCATGCACTCCCGCCGCACCCACATGCATGCACTCCCGCCGCACCCACATGCATGCACTCCCGCCGCACCCACATGCATGCACTCCCGCCGCACCCACATGCATGCACTCCCGCCGCACCCACATGCATGCACTCCCGCCGCACCCACATGCATGCACTCCCGCCGCACCCACATGCATGCACTCCCGCCGCACCCACATGCATGCACTCCCGCCGCACCCACATGCATGCACTCCCGCCGCACCCACATGCATGCACTCCCGCCGCACCCACATGCATGCACTCCCGCCGCACCCACATGCATGCACTCCCGCCGCACCCACATGCACTCCAGCCACACCCACATGCACTCCAGCCGCACCCACATGCACTCCAGCCGCACCCACATGCACTCCAGCCCAGCCCAGCCTCACCCACATCTCTTATCTTTGGTATATCTGCTATTTCCTCATTAAGGAGGCGAGCAAGGAAGGCGCCAGGGAGGGGAGTGAGGGTGGTGAGTAAGGGAGGAGCATGGTAGGGGTTGAAGGCACGGCCTCGTCTGACTCACCTTCTGCCCTGCTGATGCCTTCTTCACCTCCTCCCCCGTTGATACTACCTGCGCCAGCATCGTGTCAACCCCCCCCCCCCCCACCCCCCCCCCCACACACACCCACACCCATACCCACACAGGCACAGACACCAGACGCACAGGGTGTGCTTTCATAATTGCACAAGGTCAGGCATAACAGAAGCAAGTGAGAGGTTGAGACATGACATAAACACGAGGGAGAAGTGCAGGGCAGCAGTGGAGGGCACCAATGGAGGGCAGCAGTGGAGGGCAGCAGTGGAGGTAGAGCCTTACCTGCCCGGTAAGGTATCGCTCGTACTTGACAGCCTGCGTGGGCAGCAGCACGCCCCCCGCTGACTTCTGCACACGCAGGCGCGCACAGATGAGCACAGACAGATGGGAACAGACAGATGGGCACAGACAGAGGGGCACAGACAGAGGGGCACAGCCAGAGGGGCACAGACAGAGGGGCACAGATAGAGGGGCACAGAGGGGCACAGAGGGGCACAGAGGGGCACAGAGGGGCACAGAGGGGAGCAGAGGGGCACAGAGGGGCACAGAGGGGCACAGATGTGCAAAGAGGGGCATGCGGCAGATAGTGTGATCTATATATATGCCTGCATGATTGCAGTTGCTAGGGTATGATCACTGTATTGTTTGTTCTCTTTATATAACTCTGCATGTGAACTGGCCTTGTGGCCCTTTGCTTATGCTCGGACTGTGTGGTGACTTTGTGATCCACCCTGAGCTTGCTTTGCTTTTCTTGACTGGTCTTGTGACCACTTGTTCTCCCCCACTTTGCCTATGGGGGTGTGTCAGAACATTATAGCTTATACATTTGTGTAGGCTATAGTGGGGTAGCCCATAAGGCGTACAACCCAATTAGGGTTAGTACTTGTACCCAACTCTCTGCTAGTTCATTCATTCTCGTTCATTACTTTGATACCGCCCGCTGCCACTAGGCCCGCTCGCCGCGAGTGCGGCCCGCTCGCCGCCTGCTCATGGCCCGTGCACCGCCTGCTCACGGCCCGCTTGCCGCCTGCTCACGGCCCGCGCACCGCCCCTGCAGCCCGCGCGTCGCCTGCTTGAGGCCCGCCCGCCACTTGCTCACGGCCCGCTACGTCGCCCCTGCCGCCCGCTCGCAGCTTGCTCACGGCCAGCTCGCCGCCTTTGCCGCCCGCTCGCCGCCCCTGCAGCATGCTTGCTGCCTGCCTGTGGCCCGCTCGCCACCCTTGCAACCTGCTCGCCGCCCCTGCAGCCCGCGCGCCGCTTCTGCAGCCCCGCGCGCCGCCTCTGCAGCCCCGAGCGCCGCCCCTTGCGGCCCGCCTGCCGCCCTTGCGGCCTGCTCGCTGCCCCTACGGCCCGCTCGCCGCCCCTTGAGGCCCGCTTGCCGCCCCTTGCAGGCCGCGTGCCGCCAGTGCGCCGCCCCTTGCAGCCCGCGCGCCGCCCCTTGCAGCCTGCTCGCCGCCCCTTGCGGCCCGCTCGCCGTCCCTTCCAGCCTGCGCAATGCCCTCTCGCAGCCCGCTCGTTTCCCCTATGCTCTGCCCGCTATGGCTTCTGTCACAGGATCGAATTTCCACTCGAGAATGTTGCACTAAAGGTGAGTACAAGGCGTATTTATACTCAGAATTACATAGAAACAACAGATAATTGTCAAACATATATGCTTAGTTATATCTAGGCTTAGTTTATGTGTTCACAGTTGTCTAGGCTATAGTGGGTTTAGCCTTAGGGGGTATAGAATTTCTCTCGACATTCTACTTGTACCCCTTCCCTTTTCCTAGTCTATCATTCTCGCCTAAGATTCTAACATGGTATTAAGAGCAACTAAGTCTTAGGACCTAGTCTCAATGGGCCCACCACCTACTGCACTGACCGTACCTAGCCCGTCGACTTCGTCGCCCGCGCCCGGCCCGTACCTAGCCCGTCGCCCGGCCCGTACCTAGCTCGTCGCCTCGGCCCCGCTGGCCCCGTCGACTTCGTCGCCCGCGCCCGGCCCGTACCTAGCTCGTCGCCAGGCCCGTACGTAGCCCGTCGCCTCGGCCCCGCTGGCCCCATCGTCTTCGTCGCCCGCGCCCGGCCCGTACCTAGCGCGTCGCCCGGCCCGTACCTAGCCCGTCGCCCGGCCCGTACGTAGCCCGTCACCTCAGCCCCGCTGGCCCCGTCAACTTCGACGCCCGCGCCCGGCCAGTACCTAGCCCGTCGCCCGGCCAGTACCTAGCCCGTCGCCCGGCCCGTACCTAGCCCGTCGCCCGGCCCGTACCTAGCCCGTCGCCTCGGCCCCGCTGGCCCCGTCAACTTCGATGCCCGCGCCTGGCCCGTACCTAGCCCGTCGCCCGGCCCGTACCTAGCCCGTCGCCTCGGCCCCACTGGCCCCGTCAACGTCGACGCCCGCGCCCGGCTCGTACCTAGCCCGTCGCCCGGCCCATACCTAGCCAGCGCCCGGCCTCGTCTCCTGCCTGAGTCCGGCCCGTACCTAGCCCGTCTCCCGGCTCCGTACTGCCCAGCGCCCGGCCCAGTACCTGCCCAGCGCCTGGCCCCGTACCTGCCCAGCGCCCGGACCAGTCCCTGCCCAGCGCCTGGCCCCATTGTTTGGCCCCGCGGCCCCTAGGCCCCTCGGCCCCTACTTTGGCCCCTCGGCCCCCCTAGGCCCCTCGGCCCCCCTCAAGGCCCCCCCGGCCCCTTGTTTGGCCCCGCGGCCCCTAGGCCCCTCGGCCCCACCTCAGAGCCTGGAGCCCGCCCCCCCCCCGGCCCCGACTTGGCCACTCGGCCCCCTAGGCCCCTTGTTTGGCCCCTCGGCCCCCTAGGCCCCTCGGCCCCCCCAAGGCCCCCCCGGCCCCTTGTTTGGCCCCGTGGACCCTAGGCCCCTCGGCCCCACCTCAGAGCCTGGCGCCCGCCCCCCCCGGCCCCTACTTGGCCCCTCGGCCCCCCCCTAGGCCCCTTGTTTGGCCCCTCGGCCCCCTAGGCCCCTTGGCCCCCCCAAGGCCCCCCCGGCCCCTTGTTTGGCCCTGCGGCCCCTAGGCCCCTCGGCCCCACCTCAGAGCCTGGCGCCCGGCCCCCCGGCCCCTACTTGGCCCCTCGGCCCCCCCCTAGGCCCCTTGTTTGGCCCCTCGGCCCCCTAGGCCCCTCGGCCCCCCCAAGGCCCCCCCGGCCCCTTGTTTGGCCCCGCGGCCCCTAGGCCCCTCGGCCCCACCTCAGATCCTGGAGCCCGCCCCCCCCCCCCCCCGGCCCCTACTTGGCCCCTCGGCCCCCTAGGCCCCTTGTTTGGCCCCTCGGCCCCCTAGGCCCCTCGGCCCCCCCAAGGCCCCCCCGGCCCCTTGTTTGGCCCCGCGGCCCCTAGGCCCCTCGGCCCCACCTCAGAGCCTGGCGCCCGGCCCCCCCGGCCCCTACTTGGCCCCTCGGCCCCCCCCTAGGCCCCTTGTTTGGCCCCTCGGCCCCCTAGGCCCCTCGCCCCCCCCAAGGCCCCCCCGGCCCCTTGTTTGGCCCCGCGGCCCCTAGGCCCCTCGGCCCCACCTCAGAGCCTGGCGCCCGGCCCCCCGGCCCCTACTTGGCCCCTCGGCCCTCCTAGGCCCCTTGTTTGGCCCCTCGGCCCCCTAGGCCCCTCGGCCTCCCCAAGGCCCCCCCCGGCCCCTTGTTTGGCCCTGCGGCCCCTAGGCCCCTCGGCCCCACCTCAGAACCTGGCGCCCGGCCCCCCGGCCCCTACTTGGCCCCTCGCCCCCCCCCCCTAGGCCCCTTGTTTGGCCCCTCGGCCCCCCCAAGGCCCCCCCGGCCCCTTGTTTGGCCCCGCGGCCCCTAGGCCCCTCGGCCCCACCTCAGAGCCTGGCGCCCGGCCCCCCGGCCCCTACTTGGCCCCTCGGCCCCCCCCTAGGCCCCTTGTTTGGCCCCTCGGCCCCCTAGGCCCCTCGCCCCCCCCAAGGCCCCCCCCGGCCCCTTGTTTGGCCCCGCGGCCCCTAGGCCCCTCGGCCCCACCTCAGAGCCTGGCGCCCGGCCCCCCGGCCCCTACTTGGCCCCTCGGCCCTCCTAGGCCCCTTGTTTGGCCCCTCGGCCCCCCTAGGCCCCTCGGCCCCTTGTTTGGCCCCTCGGCCCCCTAGGCCCCTCGGCCCCCCCCCCTGGGCCCACCGGCCCCTTGTTTGGCCCCGCGGCCCCCCCAGGCTCCTCTGCCCCTATGGCGTTGCTTCGAGTTCTCCCGTTCGACCCGGAGGGTAGGCCTGTAGCATTTGACACATGGCACGACGATCTGCAACTGTACCTACTGAGTGACAGTCGGGATAGTGTCTCGCTGTTTGACCTCGTGTCCGGTGCCGCTCCAGCCCCTCCCGCCATAGCTGACGTTTCGACTCGTTCCCAGTGGCTCTCTCGTGACGCTACTGCCCGCTTGGCCATTCGCAACCACCTGCCCGCAACAGAATGTGCTCACTTTGGCGAGCACAGGACAGCACAGGCCTTGTACGATGCTGTAGTTGCTCGCTACTCTTCCCCTGCCACTGCTGCTCTTGGGAGACTGCTACTGCCCTACCTGTTCCCTGAGCTGTCGGCTTTTGCCACAGTAGTGGACCTGGTTACCCACCTGCGCACTAGCGACGCTCGCTACCGCGCTACCGTTCCTGCTGATTTCCTTCTCACGAACCAGCCCCCCATGTTCATCACCCTCTACTTCATAGTCACTCGCCTCCCTGACTCCCTTCGCTCTGTCAGGGACCACTTCCTCACCCTCGACCCCACTTCCCTCACTGTTGACCTCCTCGAGCAGCATCTCCTCGCAGCTGAGACTAGTGCAGTTGCTGTAGGTGCTGCTCGTGGCACCCCGCGCTCACCTTTCTTTGAGGGGTGCTCCCCCTCCCCCCTTTCCTCCTCCTTCGCCTCTGCTGCTGCTGCAGACGTCTCTGTTCCTGAGGACGTCGGTGCTGCTTCGACTAATACGAAGCGCCGCAACAGCAAGGGCAAGGGTGGCCGGGGTAGTGGAGGAGGCAGCGGTGGTGGTGGAGGTGGCAGTGGGCGTGGCAGTGGGGGCAGCGGTAGAGGAGGCGGAGGCGGTGGAGGTGGTGGCA